CTATGCTAAAAAACACAACAAAGTCCTCCCTTCAAATCAGGAGCCCCCTTTCATATCAGAGCCCCCCATTTCACACCAGAGTTCCCCTTTACATCAGGGGCCCCCCTTTACATGAGGAGCCCCCTTCACATCAGGAGCTCACTCCTTTTAACGTCAGAGTATCCCCTCTCATGCTAAAAGCTCCTTTCCCATTAGAGCCCACTAGTTTCACCTTAGAAGCCTGCCTGCACCATGGAAATATATGATTCTGAGGCACTCCTGAGGAAGGGAGACGGCACCTCAGGGTGTCACGGCACACTGGTTGAGAAAGGCTGCTCCAAAATCAACATTCTACCACTCTTAAAATTTCAGTCTACATGAAATGTACCAAAAGAAGAAAAACACAGATGATTTTACTTGTGCTATTGCATTACTAAAATCACTAGTACCAGCAATCGATGGCTACACATTTGGAAGACATGGCTCGGCTCCCTATGGAGTGAGGAACACTAATAGCATGCATAGCAATAATCATTAATGATTGCACTTTGCTCCAAATGTGTGCAATTATTCAGTACTACTGCTTGTGTGCCTCACTCCATAAAGAGCCATTCAGTCCAAATGTGTAGTGATCAATCACTACTACTAGCAATTAATATCTAATGATTTCAGTAGTGCAATCACACTACTAAAAATAGCCAATGTGCTCCACGCCTTAGACTTGCCAGACGTATTCAGCAAAGGCAGCATGAACTATAATGTCTATGCACAAAATGCAATTACCTAAAACAACCAGAACAGATCTCTTTACTAATCTAGGTGCTGTGAATGTGAGCTGGCCATACATGTTGCAAATGGTACAAACTCTGTCCAGCCTATTTAGAATAAAGAAAAGAATGTAATGTGAGGTCCTGCTTATACTAATCATTCACTATACCTCCTGCCAGGCAAGCCGTTGTACTACATAGTAGATAGATCGAAAAGAGATTGTAACATGTATGACCATGTTTAGACTGCTTGGCATTGGTTTTTATGGTACCCCGCACACCATCGAATGTCACACCTCTGTATAGTTACTCTTCATACAGTCATTGACCCAAATATAAGCTCCAGTCTTTTTTGTATCGCATGGAATAATCAAGAACAAAATCCTGCAGGATTAACTAAATAGTAAAAGGTAAACTCTGGACACACAAAAAAATAATAATTTACATACATTCCGTAAAACAAAACTGTGCTAATAAAATCTTAACCCTTGCAGTTGGGCTAACCCCACACTGCAAGGGTTAAGTAATTGGTTTTTTTTATCTGTGGAGCTAAAATAAAGTTATAGTCAACCGAATGGAGATTCAGGCAGCCTAGCTCCCCCACCCCTCTGGCAGTCTAAGGTCCTATGAGTCAATACATTCTATAGAGTATATAGAATGTGAGGATGCTGAGGAACATATCATCGCTGGAGCAGAGGGGGAGCGAGGCTGGGGGAAGCGGTGCAGGAGCCAGCTGGGATCGTATGGTATAATTTTGTTATTTTAGCTCTTAAGGAGCACTTAAGCATTGCAGTGCGGGGATAGCCCAAATGCAAGGAGCTATCCCCCTTGCAATGAATTCACATACACTCCCCCTTGTAATGAATTGACATACACTCTTTAAAGCTGAACTCTGGACACAAAAATGTTAATAAACACACTCTTTAAAGCTGGATACAAAAATTTTCATTTACAGACACTCCTTAAAACTGGACACACAAATGTTCATTTACATACACTCCTTAGAGCTGGACACAAAAATTTTAATTTACATACACTCCTTAAACTGAACTCTGGGCACGAAAAAATGCCATTTAAAATTCAGCTTTAATAGCCACAACAGATATAGACCCACTTTGTGTACACTAAATCACTAGTAAAAGTATAAGTGACATCATTGCTGTGCTGTACATAGTCTATGCAGAAAGCAGAGCTGTGGGAGGGACCAAGTAGGCCCCACCCACTACAGGCTGCCTGCAGAAAAGTACAGGAGGGGGCGGATACAAGACCAGTCACCCTGCATAATGAGAGAGATACAGTAAGCAGTGACCAGTCTTTACTACAAGAATCTCCTGCATAGAAACAAAGTTTCACACTGGATTCCTGCACAGATGTGGAAGAAATACATAACACACAACAACATTCACATAAGAATACACATTCCTCTTGTATTTAGAAAACATTTATCCAATATTAGAGCCATCCAGTGGAAGTCCATCCCACAAATGATGAGTATTATTCCCCAAGCACAGCACAGATAATGAGGCAGAGAAATGACTCCACAGGGAGCTGTGATCAGGTGTTTTGCTCCCCACTGCCTGGCTGGCAGAAAGTGGCATTACTCACTGGTAGTCTATTGTATAAATAACAGAAGCCCTCTTGGCTGTCTGGATGCCCCATAGTCATCGTGAAACCCAAGCTGCCTTGGCACTGCATCAGCAGAACAGGTGCACCCCTCCCTCCCCCAGCTGCCCTGTCTACAGACACACGTGGGAAAGTTGACGTACCTTGGCCAGCAGGAGGGCATTGTGGCTGGCAGCAGCCAGATCGCGCAGACTCTGGGTACAGGCAGCATTGTGGGGGTGCCCTGCAGTGTTGACCCCCGTAGCAGAGCACCCCGGGCTGCCACAGTTGTTGCTGTTGTTGATGCTGGCCGTGGGACTCCCGGTGGGGCTACCCCGAGGTCTCTGCCTTATGCCATCCAGCAGCCTGACCAGTAGGATGTTAGCCGGTAGGTCGTCCACTCCACAGTCCACCAGGATGCGGCACTCCGGGCAGCGCAGCTCGTTCCTGGAGCTGACAATGCTCTGCAGACAGCGGCGGCAGAAGGTATGCTGGCACGGCAGTACCCGGGCGGTGGTGTCCAGCCTCTCCAGGCACACCGAGCACTCCAGTAAATCCAGCAACGACGACTCATCCATCTCCTCTCCGCTTCCCCCTTCTCTCCTCTCCCGTCTCCTCTCCTCCTCCCCCCCTTTGGATGCTTTCTGCGGTCCTTTAGAGGTGCACAGCCAGGATGCCCCGAGGAGCATCTAGAAGAGCGGGTTGGCCAACACAGCCAGCGAGGAATCTAAAGAGAAGCCTGGAGCAGGAGGACACCAGCCATGCCACCGCAGCGCACCTCCTCTACTAAAATCCCTTCACATGAAGTTGGCTGGACACGGAGATCTTCTTCCCAAGTCCTCTGCCTGATCGTTCTGTACAGAGCTGGAGACTTCATGTAATCCAAGTTCACGTGCAGGCTAGAAGAACAGGCAGCACATGTCTTCCTAGAGAGCCAGCTGTCATCACCATCCTTCTCTATAGGGATGCCATGGATCCTGCTTGTACAAGTGTCCCTGATCACAAGGAGAGCAGTACAGAAGAAATCAATGTTCCTTGGTGTGACCTGTCCCTCACCCCCTCTGCTGCTATTGCAGTGTGCAGCTTGCTTGGCTGCTCCATAGCGAGCTGTGTAATCTGATCATTCTCACCCTCCCTCTAAGGGAAGGAGGAGCAGTGTGTCAGTCCTCTCCCCTCTACTTCCATTGTGAGTAAGTGTGTATGTGTGCCCACTGCCAACCAAGTATTAATCCATGGGGCCAGATGTTCCTTCTCCGGACACTATGGACAATTAGTGCAGGCTTACATTAGCAGCTTGGCTATGAGATTTATTGGGAACAGCTATAAAATGATCCACAACCGTTTACTGTAGCCTAAACATCGTTTTTTACTACTGCAGACCAGGGTCGGGCTGAGGGGTAGGCTGAAAGGGCGACCGCCTTGGATGCTTCAGCAGGAGTGGGGTGCAAACAGTGGTGTATTTAGGTTTGGGGCTGCCCTAGGCAAGACAAAACTCGGGCGCCCCCCCCCAGATGGCCGAGAGGATCCAAGTGCAGGCGCAGACTCAGCTACATGGTCTGTATCCGACAGAGATGCAGACCTTGTAGCTGCTCCCGCAGGTCAGGTACGTGGTCCTCGACCGCGTACCTGACTTGTGAGCTGGCTGCCGGCCACAAAGTACCGGATCGCGGGCCGCGGGCCGGTACATCTGCCGCCCTGCCGGAATCTGCCGCTCGAGGCAAACGCCTTGTTTGCCTCGCGGCAGATACGCCCCTGGGTGCAAAAAGGGTAGGACCTGCAAAAAACTGTGCTGCTGAAGTAGTTCCCCGCTCATTGGGGTGCACTGTCATGCCGTGCTGAAGGACCTGGTCCCAATACATCTGTGTTGCAATCCTTGGGGCAGGTTCACAAACCCATAGAGCAGCCTTTCTGAACCTGGGTGCTGTGGCACACTGGTGTGCCTCCTAGCAGTGGGACAGTGATGTGATGTGAAGTGGGCCATGAAGACGAATGTAAAAGGGGCTCTTGATGTAAAGGGATAACTGTGATGTGAAAGGGGGGACAATTATATCAAAGTGGGACTTCTGACGTGAAAGGGGAGCTACTGATGCAAAGTGTGATTTTGATGTGAAGGAGGGAATCTTGATGTCAAGGGGGAAACCCAATTTGTTGTGAGGGGGTCTCACTTAAAATCTATGATATTTTAGATTAGGGTGCCTCAAGATTTTGCATACTTTTAAAGGGTGCCATGACTAAAAACAGGTTGAAAAATACGGCCTCCCGTCTCCCATGCTGTTAGAAGCTGTATACAGCGCGTGCTGGTTACTACTTAAACTGGTGCGCGCAGCTTCTGAGAAGATACGCTATTAGCATAGCGAGGAAGCCGGCTGCGCATTTTGCATCGCTCCCGCTACGCTAATAGCGTATCTTCTCAGAAGCTGCACACAGCGCGCGCCAGTTTAAGTAGTAACCAGCACGCGCCGTATGCAGCTTGTAACAGCGTGGGAGACGGGAGGCCGCACTTTTGGTGGATACAGGGATCAGGTGAATATATATATATAAAAAAAAGTTTGTTTTATGCTCCCGGGGATAAAATGTCCCGGGATTTTGTTTTTAAAAATGTTGTCACCTTACCTTGGCCTGGTGGTCAGTGGGGGGCTCCATGGACTCTGGTGGGGGGGGGTGTCTGCTGTGGCCCCAGCTGCAGTGGCAATCTCCCTCTGCCGCCTGTTTGTCACCTGCACCCGGCCGGCCGGACCGCATCCTATGCGGCTGCTGCTCGGTCCTCAAGGGGGTCCTCAGAAGGACCCAACGGGCTGCCCTCTACAGAGCTTGATTACAGGGCCGCGTCTGCCTGATCCAGCCAGCCGGATCGCATACCGAGGCGATCCGCGCTGGCTGTACCAGGTAGACGCGGCATGTTAGAGCGCCCCCTGCTGGAGCCTCCCGAGCACCTCCTTGAGGAGCAGCGGCCGCAGCATTCACAGAGCCGCGTCGGATGTGGATGGCGGGCGGCCGGGTGCAGGTGGCAGCGGCCGGGGGTCAAGGGGCCGTTCGCGGTGGCATCAGAGAGGCCCGGGGGGCAATTGCCACCCTGCCCCCCGGCCCAGTCCGCCCCTGTACTGAAGTGATGCAAATACATCTGTATTGCATTGCTTGGGGCAAGATCAGAAACCTTTAGGTGACAGGCTTGAACCTTGTCCTGATACTGCGTGATACAAATACATCCGTATTATAATCCTCAGGGTAGGTTCAGAAACCCATTAAGGACAGGTTTGAACCTTGTCCCGATACTGCTTGATACAAATACATCTGTATTGCAATCCTCGGGGTAGGTTCAGAAACCCATTGAAGACAGGCTTGAACCTTGTCCCAATACTATGTGATACAAATACATCTGAATTGCATTGCTTAGGGAAAGATCAGAAACCCGTAGAAGACAGGCTTGAATAGCCTCTTCCAATATTAAACCGGAGGCTGAACTTCAGGCAAGCAGCTAAATCTACAGAGAAGATACATATAAGGGAGATTTTTTTACTTGCCAAACAATTTGTTTTTCTGTCCTTCCAGTCCTGGGAGTTACACAGTTCGGCCACACAACAGAACTCTAATAGGATAGGAGACCCGCTTTTTCTCTTCTAGTGTCGTAACAATTATAGGTCTCATACCCACCAATGGCTTGTAACTGGACAGTGAGCGGAGAAGCAGCAGATAGGTGAGCTCATCTCTTAGTCACTGCTCTCTCCTCCTCTCAGCATGTCACTTGCACTGCAGTAAAACTGACTGGCTCCTTGTGCTGCTTCTCCCTCCCCTAGTCTGAGCTCTTCTGTACAAAACTGCAAAAGGCTAAAACCAAGTTAAATTTAGACATGTACACTGTTTGCACTTAAAGAAAAATCATTAAGGGAAGTAATAATGAATACAGAGCGGCATTAATATGTGCCTTTCATATCTGCCTGGCGTTCCACGTGAAGTCGAAGTTGTTACTACAAGTGCCCTGTCTACACCAACACCATTGCCCTGCCTATTTTATAAGCTTTGTATGTTACTATTCCAGCAGGCAAAGGGTGCAGGGTACTCCGACTGCTATAAAACGCAGCAGTTTGTGAACACTTACATAACAAATTGAAAAAAGTCATAGCATGTTACGGCTGTGACCAGCTCCAACTGTTATCCTAAACACAGCTGTCACTGGAAGTCTCGGCTACTGCTGAGTTAGCTTTGAACAACCCCGATTCCTCGTTCCTCGTATTTCATCTCGGCTTTTAAGTCCCTTATTGCTAACATGGGGAAAGCTGAGACTTGGAAACCCCTAGAAAAGGCTGCTTACTTCCATTTCCCAAAACTTACTCTCAATCTTTATTTTGTAGCATTTACAGAATAAGGAAGCTCTGTCATCTGTGCTCTGTCACCCCCTACTGACTACAATGAAGCGTCGCTGTGCAAAATTCTGTTCACAATATATCAGTAACATGAATGAAATATTATTATTATTATATTATTATTATAATTATTATACAGGATTTATATAGCACCAACAACAGTTTGCACAGTGCAAATGAGGATATTACAGTTACAATACAAGTCAAGACAAGATTGTAAGGGAAGTCCTGCCCGTGAGGGCTTACAATCTAAAAAGGGAGGGGAAAGAGACATGAGGGGATAGCTGTGTGGGGATGAATTGTTTGAGAAATTGATATTTCAGTGGTTAGGTTGAGTAAGCTTCCCTGAAGAGATGAGTCTTAAGGGATCGCCTAAAGGTGGTCAGAGTAGGAGATAGACGGACAGGTTGGGGTAAAGAGTTCCACAGAATGGGGGAGACTCTTGTGGAGGCGAGCATGGGAGGAGTTGACAAGGGAGCTAGAGAGCAAGAGGTCTTGGGAGGAGTGTAGGGGACGGTTAGGGTGATACTTAGAGACAAGGTTGGAGATCTATCCAGGGCTGAGTTGTGAATGGCTTTTTAAGTGGTTGTTGATATTTTGAATGTTATCCTTTGGGCGATTGGAAGCCAGTTCAGGGATTGTCAGAGGGGGGTTGCAGACACTGAGCGGTTGGTTATGTGGATAAGTCTGGCAGCAGCATTCATGATAGACTGAAGGGGGGATATCCTGTGTAGAAGTAAGCCAATGAGGAGGGAGTTACAGTAGTCGAGACGAGAGATAACAAGTGAGTGGATGAGTAGCTTTGTGGTTTCATTGGTGAGGAAGGGGCGTATTTTGGAGATGTTACGAAGGTGAAGATGGCAGGATTTGGATAGGGATTGGATGTGGGGAAGAAAGGTGAGGTTTGAGTCAAGGATGACACCCAGCACCCTGGCATGGGGGGGGGAGGGTTGGATGGTTGTGTTGTCAATCATGATCGAAAAGTTGGTGGAGGGTGCACGGGAGAAGGTGGGAATATTAATCTACTTTGAGTTGTGTAATTCTATAAACCCTTACTGAATGAAATGTGGTTTTCTAAATCACTGGCCGTTATAAATAATTGCTTTTTAGTTTTAAATATAATATATGTTTCCCCTTTTTCATCCTTTGTTACATCTCAGTGCTGCTCGTCTCCTGTAGACTCTGTGCAGCCATATCTTGTCTTCATGTGTGCACTGTAGCAGTGACTGCATAGCATTTCTTTAAGGCTGGTTTCCTGATGGTTACAATAGTAAACCACGCCTATGTAATGTGTCTTAACTGGAAGCCCATATGACAGGGTGACAAAATAGTAAAAATGCACCAGCATAGAAAATAATTGCGCCCAAAATTGTCTTTATCGATGTATGTACATCGATAAGTGTC